ACTGAGAGATAGTCCACGACTCACATCCGTATGTAGCCACAGGAAACATGCATGCTCTCAAAATTCTAATTTTTATCTCCTTGCTGGTGCTTAACCATAGACTTTTAAGGCTGTTCAATCTTTAAATGGTATGATAGAATCACTAATGTTGAGCTTTGAGAGAGAACTACACAAGTTCCAGTGTATCAAGTGGCGCACCTACTGTGTAGGTCTTTTGTACTTTCTAGCAGCCTCTTGTGCAGATCATTGGTACTTTACATTGGTACTCCACCTATTGTGGAGGTCTTCAGAATTGGAATTGAGACTGTCGAATACTTTCAGAATGGGAATTGAGACTGTGTCGACTACTTTCAGAATGGGAATTGAGACTGTGTCGACTACTTTCAGAATGGAAATTGAGACTGTGTAGTCTACTTTCAGAATGGAAATTGAGACTGTGTCCACTACTTTCAGAATTGGATTTGAGACTGTGTAGTCTACTTTCAGAAATAAATTGAGACTGTGTAGTCTACTTTCAGAATGGAAATTGAGACTGTCGACTACTTTCAGAATGGGAATTGAGACTGTGTAGTCTACTTTCAGAAATAAATGGAGACTGTGTAGTCTACTTTCAGAATGGGAATTAAGACTGTGTAGTCTACTTTCAGAATGGGAATTGAGACTGTGTAGTCTACTTTCAGAATGGGAATTGAGACTGTGTAGTCTACTTTCAGAATGGGAATTGAGACTGTGTAGTCTACTTTCAGAAATAAATTGAGACTGTGTAATCTACTTTCAGAATGGGAATTGAGACTGTGTAGTCTACTTTCAGAATGGAAATTGAGACTGTGTCCATTACTTTCAGAATGGGAATTGAGACTGTGTCCACTACTTTCAGAATGAGAATTGAGACTGTGACGACTACTTTCAGAATGGGAATTGAGATTGTGTCCACTACTTTCAGAATGGAAATTGAGACTGTGTAGTCTACTTTCAGAACGGAAATTAAGACTGTGTAGTCTACTTTCAGAATGGGAATTGGGACTGTGTAGTCTACTTACAGAATGGGAATTGGGACTGTGTAGTCTACTTTCAGAATGGGAATTGGGACTGTGTCAACTACTTTCAGAATGGGAATTGAGACTGTGTAGTCTACTTTCAAAAATAAATTGAGACTGTGTAGTCTACTTTCAGAATGGGAATTGAGACTGTGTAGTCTACTTTCAAAATGGGAATTGAGACTGTGTAGTCTACTTTCAGAAATAAATTGAGACTGTGTAGTCTACTTTCAGAATGGGAATTGAGACTGTGTAGTCTACTTTCAGAATGGAAATTGAGACTGTGTCCATTACTTTCAGAATGGGAATTAAGACTGTGTCCACTACTTTCAGAATGGGAATTGAGATTGTGTCCACTACTTTCAGAATGGAAATTGAGACTGTGTAGTCTACTTTCAGAACGGAAATTGAGACTGTGTAGTCTACTTTCAGAACGGAAATTGAGACTGTGTAGTCTACTTTCAGAATGGGAATTGGGACTGTGTAGTCTACTTTCAGAATGGGAATTGGGACTGTGTCGACTACTTTCAGAATAGAAATTGAGACTGTGTCGACTACTTTCAGAATTGGAATTGGGACTGTGTCGACTACTTTCAGAATTGGAATTGAGATGTGTCGACTACTAGTGATCTAGCCTCAACTTTCTAGTGAGTATCTGGTGATCTAGCCTCAACTTTCTGGTGAGTCTCTAGTGATCTAGCCTTAACTTTCTGGTGTTTCTCTAGTGATCTAGCCTCAACTTTCTGGTGAGTCTCTAGTGATCTAGACTCAACTTTCTGGTGAGTCTCTAGTGATCTAGCCTTAACTTTCTGGTGTGTCTCTAGTGATCTAGCCTTAACTTTCTGGTGTGTCTCTAGTGATCTAGCCTCAACTTTCTGGTGAGTCTCTAGTGATCTAGCCTCAACTTTCTGGTGAGTCTCTAGTGATCTAGCCTCAACTTTCTGGTGTGTCTCTAGTGATCTAGCCTCAACTTTCTGGTGAGTCTCTAGTGATCTAGCCACAACTTTCTGGTGTGTCTCTAGTGATCTAGCCTCAACTTTCTGGTGTGTCTCTAGTGATCTAGCCTCAACTTTCTGGTGAGTCTCTAGTGATCTAGCCTCAACTTTCTGGTGAGTCTCTAGTGATCTAGCCTCAACTTTCTGGCCAGTATCTAGTATCTAAAAATTTTTCAGTTGACTTGTGTCTCCCCTTGATGTCTGCCCTTCCCCGTCCCCCTTTTTTTTAAATTCTGCGAATGACAATTAGTACCTGTTTATTTATTTGTTCTTTAGGTAACTAGGTTAAATGTAGGACATTAGAATTGACACCTTATGGTTACACATAGGCATTAGAATAGACACTTCTCATGTTAGGTAATACATAAGACATTAGAATAGACACTTCTCATGTTAGGTGACACATAGGACATTAGAATAGACACTTCTCATGTTAGGTGACACATGGGACATTAGAATAGACACTTCTCATGTTAGGTGACACATGGGACATTAGAATAGACACTTCTCATGTTAGGTGACACATAGGACATTAGAATAGACACTTCTCATGTTAGGTGACACATGGGACATTAGAATAGACACTTCTCATGTTAGGTGACACATAGGATATTAGAATAGACACTTCTCTTAGCTGACACATAGGACTTTTAAATAGACACTTCTCATGTTAGCTGACACATAGGACATTAGAATAGACACTTCTCATGTTAGGTGACACATAGGACATTAGAATAGACACTTCTCATGTTAGGTGACACATGGGATATTAGAATAGACACTTCTCATGTTAGGTGACACATAGGATATTAGAATAGACACTTCTCATGTTAGCTGACACATAGGATATTAGAATAGACACTTCTCATGTTAGCTGACACATAGGACATTAGAATAGACACTTCTCATGTTAGGTGACACATGGGACATTAGAATAGACACTTCTCATTTTAGGTTACACATAGGATATTAGAATAGACACTTCTCATGTTAGCTGACACATAGGATATTAGAATAGACACTTCGGCTCTACTGGCAAATTTGGCCTGTAAGCTGGACTGCTTCGGCCGGCTTAGCGGGGCTTAGTGGGAGTTATGTCCCTTCGTGTCCCTTCGCCAAACTCAAAACAAGTCGTGGAAAAAGTCACGAATGAAATGACATACTTACCTATCATCATCCGGGTGCGTGTAGGGCTGCGTAGGGTTGCGTCTAGGGTTACCTATCATCATACGGTTGCGCGTAGGGCTGCGTAGGGTGTCTATCATCATCATACGGTTGCGTGTAGGGATGCGTAGGGTGTCTATCATCATCATCATACGGTTGCGTGTAGGGTTTGGGTTAGCGGTAGGGTTAGGGGTTTGGGGTAGGGGTAGGGGTAGGGTTAGGGTTAGATGATGTGAAAATATTCACGTAGGAGGTGGAAATACTGGCCGACAATCTGATGCTTGTGGGAGTGGCGCCACTGGAAGTTTGCCAAATATGACGGCAATAGCGCGCGGCGGCTGGTGCCCCAATTGGTGACGAATTGTCCATGTCAGTAGCATCCACCGTCCGTCGACTGTTTGCGCGTGCATGCGACTGTGCGCGATTGTAGGGAACTACGGCATCACAATTGTCACATCTAACTCTACACCTAACCCTAAACCCTAACCCTAAACCCTAACCCTAACCCTACCCCTCATCTATCTTACGCAAACAACCAACCCTACAAGCAATAAGCAGCCCTACACGCAACCGTAGGACGATGATAGACACCCTACGCAACCCTACACGCACCCGGATAATGATAGGTAAGTATGCCGTTTGATTCGTGACTTTTTCCGCAACTTGTTTTGAGTTGTTGTGAGTTTGGCCAAGGGACATAACTCCCACTAAGCCGGCCGAAGTAGTCCAGCTTACCGGCCAAATCTGTCAGTAGAGCCGACACTTCTCATGTTAGGTGACACATAGGACATTTGAATAGACACTTCTCATGTTAGCTGACACATAGGATATTAGAATAGACACTTCTCATGTTAGCTGACACATAGGATATTAGAATAGACACTTCTCATGTTAGCTGACACATAGGATATTAGAATAGACACTTCTCATGTTAGCTGACACATAGGATATTAGAATAGACACTTCTCATGTTAGGTGACACATAGGATATTAGAATAGACACTTCTCATGTTAGGTGACACATAGGATATTAGAATAGACACTTCTCATGTTAGGTGACACATAGGATATTAGAATAGACACTTCTCATGTTAGCTGACACATAGGATATTAGAATAGACACTTCTCATGTTAGGTGACACATAGGACATTAGAATAGACACTTCTCATGTTAGGTGACACATAGGACATTAGAATAGACACTTCTCATGTTAGGTGACACATGGGACATTAGAATAGACACTTCTCATGTTAGGTGACACATGGGACATTAGAATAGACACTTCTCATGTTAGATGAGACATTAGAATAGACACTTCTCATGTTAGGTGACACATGGGACATTAGAATAGACACTTCTCATGTTAGCTGACACATAGGATATTAGAATAGACACTTCTCATGTTAGGTGACACATAGAACATTAGAATAGACACTTCTCATGTTAGCTGACACATAGGATATTAGAATAGACACTTCTCATGTTAGGTGACACATGGGACATTAGAATAGACACTTCTCATTTTAGGTTACACATGGGATATTAGAATAGACACTTCTCATGTTAGGTGTCACATAGGACATTAGAATAGACACTTTTCATGTAAGGTGTCACATAGGACATTAGAATAGACACTTCTCATGTTAGGTGACACAGGACTTTAAAATAGACACTTCTCATGTTAGGAGACACACAGGGCATTAGAATAAAATGCACTATCGGTTTCTAAGTAGTAAAATAATAAATAAGACACACGTTATACGCTTTGATTGTTCAACAATAAAAGATGGACTTTAATTCTAGTCAGTTTTTCTGCGACTCAAATGTTGTTTGATCTTCCGTTTTTTCGGCTCCATATGAAGGGTTCTTCTTTAACAAGATCACTGCTTCCCTCTTAGTAGGAAAAAAGCATCCCTGAAATGCACGACCATGTTTGTCGTCTAGACAAGTCATTGAACTCGTAGCTTCTTTTCTCTTCTCTCGCTGCCTCTCGGCCATCCAATCTTTATACGCTAAATGGAATTGCCGAGACAGGACAGAGGCCATCGTTCGAGCCTTTTCTTGAGAGCTACAAAGTACCGCGTGGACTTCCAACTTACCCGAGTTTGGATCTTTGGTAATCCAGCAAAACAACCGATCGTTGACATTCTTATCTGCGGCACAGAAGGAAATATCTTCAATGCTGAACCACCGATGAGGCACGTCTTTGTTGTTTTTCTTGTCTAATTCATCCATGTGTATGCCGTGTGAACTTAACTTCACAAGAACTTTGTGCAGGTTCTTCTCGCTGGGCGCGTTGTCCCAAAGTCGCTGTAGGGGCTGCGTGGCACATCCTTGTCCAACGGGAACAAAAGTTTCGGTTGTGCCGATGTACCGCACTTGAAACGTGGGCGCTTCCTCGGAAATATCAGCGCTGCTTTTCTTCCAAGACAACATCTTCAGTAATTAGTATTTTGTTGCTTGGATGTTGTAAGGACAGGTAAGCTATAGTCAAGTCCTGGAACAAGGCAACAGTCCAGACGTGGGTGAACAACTGCCGTGCCTCTGCTCCGACTGCAGCAGGTACTTTATGGATACAGACAGGTCTGATCAATCACCACAGGACGTCTCTTGAAAAACTGCAATATTGTCTTTTTGAAGGAACGACGGACAGCCTGGTGCAGTAGCAAGTAACAGATCTGTTCAGGTATACTTGATACACCTCGTCTTTTATTCTGTCGCTTTTATGTGATGGTCGTTTTCTGTTAACTTGTTAATGTTGCCCAACCCTGAAATAAAAAAAAATGTTTAAAAGTTGAGTTTTAAAAAAAAAGTAAAAGACCCTTTTTCACGTCTTTCGTGCGTATTGGGTATATAGGGCTAGACCTATATTTTATAGACCAAAGGCACAAGATGGGTTATGTTGCCAGCAAGAATATAGGATTTTTCCGGGAATTCCCTGAGATGGGGTGAAATCGACGAAAAGAGCCCGGCATGTTACCAAATGAAGAATATAATCTATGCAACCTCTGTCAATTAAAACGTGAAAGAGAATTCTCAACAACTAAATAAAATAGTATCTTGATTTCCGGAATTGAATCATAGACAATTGGACGATTGCTGAAAACTTATTTGGAAGCAGCGGAGATTTGGGGTTTTATAGACGAATGATGAGAATACCCTGGACAGACAAAAAGAGTAATGAAGATGTCTTAAAAGAAACTGACTCACGAAGAGAACTGATTGCCCACATCAGAAAGATACAATATACATTCTTTGGTCATGATGAGGAGGAGAAAACTAGAGTTCATCATGACGGTAGGAAAGTTGGAGGGGAAAAGGGGCAGAGGGAGACTGTGAGAAAAGATGCTGGACAGTTTGGCATCATGGCATGGAAGATCATCTGTGTCAGAACTGACTGAAAGTACACGAGACAGAAGGTTGTGGATAGACATGACTACCAACGCCACACGGCATGGACTATGGAAGATCATCTGTGTCAGAGTTGATTGAAAGTATGTGAGACAGGAGGTTGTGAACAGACATGACTACCAACGCCACACGGCATGAACTATGGTGTGTCTATCAGTCCGTGTGTTGACACCCTCCGTGCCATGACAAAAGGCTATCAAGAATCTTCTCACTCTGTCTTTCTCTTCCCATAGATTTTTCAAACGGTCACAACATGAAAATAATCAACGCAATCAAATTATCACAAATATTTGAAACGCATACTTAACATGTACTGAACCCAAAAAAATTATTTTAGTAATACTTAAATAATATTATAACCTGAGATAACTGACACATAATTTGTGTAATATCAAACAAACACAAGCATTAGATAAGCATAAATATTCTGCACCAGAAAAGACAGCAGCACTCTTTATATATCATAATTATAACACACAAAGTTGAACTAGATGTTGATTTATAGCTACTACTACTGCTGCTGTTGTTCTATTTGACACTACTGCTGCTGCTGCTGTTGTTTTATTTGACACCACTTTTGCTGCCACTACTACTACCATTGCCGCTGCTATTACTACTACTACTACTAATACTACTACTACTACTACTACTACTACTACTACTACTACTACTACTACTACTACTACTACTACTACTACTACTACTGTTGCTGCCGATACTACTACTACTACTACTACTACTACTACTACTACTACTACTACTACTACTACTATTACTACTACTACTACTACTACTACTACTACTACTACTACTACTACTACTACTACTGCTGCTGCTGCTACTGTTGCTGCCGATACTACTACTACTACTACTACTACTACTACTACTACTACTACTACTACTACTACTACTGTTGCTGCCGATACTACTACTACTACTACTACTACTACTACTACTACTACTACTACTACTACTACTACTACTACTACTACTACTACTACTACTGCTGCTACTACTGTTGTTACTACTACTGCTACTGCTATTACTATTACTACTATTCATACTCCTACTACTAACTCACAAGCCCATTTTCAAAACCCGGCATTAAATTGAATACTTTATCTGAGGCACAGAAAATAGAAAATGCTACAGAAAAGCGAGATTTGGCTGCACACATCCCATCACTTGTCCAGCGATTCAGAACTCCAGCACGTAGACATTCACTGTGACATAGAAATGGTCAACTCCTACCTTTGTCACCAATAGGGATTCTGTCCGTTTGTGGACATAACGTCACCTCTGACCCAAACTTGTCTCAAGCTTTGGTCTGTTTGTGTTTGCCAACAGGAGATTCTGTTTGCTGGCGTTTTCTGGACTGCCAGTGACTTTGTCACTGAGTGACACCAAGTTTAACCGCCGAGCGTGACAGTAGCGCTGAGACAAAGACAAATGGAAAACAGAACCGTGCGAAACAATTGTGGGGGGTGGGGGGCTACCTCTTTAGACATTTTCGGGGTTGCCCCGACGAACACTCCTACCTTAAATTGTGTGTGTGTGGAAGGGGGGAAGGGGAGGGGGGGGGGCGAGGTGTTTGAGCCGTATGATACCAGCGCTTCTATAGCATGTGTCCTGTCTTCATTCGGCTGTTGACGCTTTCATCTGGCTGTCCAGAAGTGAGGGATTTATACAACAGAAACATTCGTGTCGGTCGTCGTTTGGAAGATAGTCAAATATTGACAGGAAGATACAAGCAAAGGTGTCTCTATTCCCTTCTTCTTCTCTCACCCTCATCCTCCCCCCCCCTTCGTCTTCATAATCATTCGACCTTAAAAAGTATGTTGGCACGTTGTTTTGTGGCTTACATTAAGGATGCCATATCTGCTCCTTTCGACCCACCACATGCTGATTTCAGAAACTCCTAATTAGTTATCTTTTACGACACGCTTGTGGAGAAAAGGGTAGTCGTTGTGTTCTCTCCCCCTTCCACTATATACGGGCCCTACTTTTCCACATTTCCTCTACCTTCCACCTTCTTGTTCTTATTCTTTTATGGTTTACAAGTAGGCTACAGTATTTGCACCCTTTGTCCAAACACTTGGATTTCATCAAACCCTCCACTTAGGATCCTTTTACGACATGCAACGGGTTGATTTTGATTTGATTTGATTCAAGAACCGACATCACAGCAATTGGGGCATTCCCATAAGCGCTCTGTCCCCATCTTCAGCAGCCAGCGAAGAGTTCCGATACTAATGGTGCCAGTAGCATTCTGATTAAACGTCAGTCTTGCCTTTCCTCTGAGCCGCGTTCTGAATGCGCTCTTTGAGACGGTAAGCAGTCCTAGGCCATAATCAACCACTGACAGGATCAGGTGTTGATACAGTGTGAAGAGCATTCTCTGCTCTATGTGAATTGCAGCCATAGTTTGCAACGGGTCTTTAAATCCACCCCACCCACCGAGATGGGTGCCGAAACCTGCACCTGAAAGTTTGTTTATTATTATATTTGGTTCAACCGGGAAGGCTAACCCGGCCAACAAAGGCCTGCAGAAGTCAGATGTGTTGGCTGAAAGGCACAGATATCGCAGCCATGCTGCGAACTGACTCAACGCAATGAACTTTTTCTCTTCCCTATAATTTTCTACTCCTTATAAAAACTTCGATCTTCGATGAACGCAGAAGAAGAAGATATTTGGTTCCATTTAGTCTACTAGACAACCCATGGACCGTGTCACGTGATCAGACAAGATGGCGGCAGCAAGGAACGGAGACAACGGTAAACAACAGTATGATGTAGGAAAACCTGTTCTCCTTGACAGGATCGAAGGAGGTACACACACGGTCAACGCCGCTGTTCTCATCCCCCGGCAGGATGGGGTCATTAGTGTCAGCAGTGACAAGTAAGTGACAGTTTGTATGCAAGTCTGATTTTTATTCAAACAGTTTATTATTTATAAACTTGTAAACATTTCCCTGCGGCTTGCCTTACGTTTTGAATCATAAATGGCCAAGAGCCGTAACGGTAACGAAATTGAAATAATAACGTCTTAACTCTTTGAGTACCAGGAGGTTTCACAGGAGCTGCCAAACGGTCTCACTAACTACTAGAAAAATCAGAAGTCTATGACCATTACTTCTAAAGAAAGCTGATTACCAGCTTATCCCACATCATACGTTGCTGTTGCTTGGGACCCCCCCCCCCTTCCTCCTAAAAGTTAAATATATTTAGGCCTATATACTTACTATAAGCATATAATGCTTTCATTATACTGATCATCTTTTTTTTGGGTCAATCTTGTCATAGTAAAGAAATGCCGCCGAAGAAATGCAGTCTTAACACACACACACCCCCCCCCCCTCCCCCACGCGAAATGAAAGTCATGAGCTCAAATCCATATTAAGCCGGATTTGTTTAACCCATGCTAGACCGAACCAGTTTAAAATGAAATGAGTACCAGGTATAGTCCTGGGAAGTAAAGGTGGCCGGCATGTTGTTGATCACATTCCTTACTTGTAAAACTCCCCTGTTTGATTTGATTTGATTCAAGAACCGACATCACAGCACTTCAGCAGCCAGCGAAGAGTTCCGATACTAATGGTGCCGGTAGCATTCAGATAAAACGTCCGTCTTGCCTTTCCTCTGAGCCTCGAGCATCTGCCAGAACCTCTCGTCACTCCCCACTGCATCAATCTCACCAGACTGGGGTGATCCATCTGCTCCTCCGAATTGTACATGCTCTCCCACAAGGCACTAACCACGTCTGCCTTATCATGTATCAGTGTTCCACCAAGTTGTGCAGAGCCAGCCAGTCTGTCCGCCTGTTCATTTCCCAACATACCGGCGTAACCAAGTGAAAAATCCAGACAATACTCCTTACTCGTGTCCTCCGCAGCGAAGCATGCCACTCTGCACAAAGCATGCCTGTTCTGATCTTCCCCATCATGCTTTCTGAATCAGTTACAATCACGATGTGTGTGTGTGTGTGTCGTGTTCTCTAGCCAGCGGAAAGCTGCAGTGACCGCCTC